TGGTTCTCTTGATCCTAAAAACCAAGCCACCAGTCAAGAAGTCAGCTGAGCTGCAAATAAATTAAAATAATCTAATAAAACTATTTCTTCTTGCATTCTGTAGACAGCCTGTGGAGCTCCCTAGCAAAGGGGTGCAGAGAGCCAAGTGCTGTCCTTATGCATAGTAAACAAAAGTAATCACATTTCAAGTTTCAAGGCATCAGCTGATTTGTTGCAAGAGTCGAGAAAGACAGAAATCCCTGTTAGAGATTTCTGGAATCTTCCTTTCTAGTGATACCCAATTTATTTGAGAAGACGTTAAAGCAGGTACCTCGTCTAGCTCAACAGGTGCATTGCGTGGGAGATGCATAATGAGGCTAATCCACAAGGAATAGCGGAGAATGGAGACCGGAGAACAACAGATGGGAAGCACAAATGTGTACAGCTCTTGCATATTAACAATGAAAAGATGTTGCAGGATAAAAATCTGACACGCCTGGAGAAAGACCTGTTAATTGGAAGGAGCATGTATTTCTGAAAATTCTTGGGGCAAAACCATCCCGGCAGTGGTACAGGTAACAGATGATGCCAAGTGCACATGTGGGTAGGCTTCCCAGAAACTCTGCCCCAGCCTACACAGGGCTGCCTGCCCCAAGACCCACGACCCCTGCTGGGAACGAGATCAGCAGTAATTAACCAGTATTTTGCCCCAAGAATAACTAGAGCTGCTGACACTAAAAATCTTGAAACAGCAAAAACTGAAAGAAAATTGTGTAAACATGTGACTTTCCTCCTCTGATAATAACGAGGCGTGTCTACACATGCATTACTGCACTTTAGTTAATGCACATTAAATCTAGTGTCTCCATTAGGAGGGACCAGGAAAATGCGCATTAGCCTGTCTTAATGCACATTACCTAGGGCACATTTTTTAAGTGATGCTTCATGTGCATTAACTAAACAGCACTTTTTCTAGTGACATTAACGCACATTAAAATAGACCGCGGTTCACAACCTATTTGCCACAGTGGGCCACACTTGCAGCTCTCAATGTCTTATGTGGGCCACACCCACACAACTTACTTCCTGTGTATCCATTTAAAACGTGTTTTAGCAGGATCTCTCATGGGTCACAGCAGTGTGCTGACCGGGCCAAGAACCACTGGTCCAGAGCATGAAGCGATGGCTCGTCATTTTGCAGCAGAAGCACTACCCGCTCTATCTTAGAGCAAGTCCTATTTATTCCATTTTATTACTTAAACAGATGATTAGAAAGGTATCGTGTTTAAACGCCTCTATCCCCCAATCCATACAGCAGATTTACAACCAGCTCTATCACACAGACCGGACAATTCACTCGCTGTAACAAGTGGTTTTAATAGTTTTATGGTCAAAACACAGCCTATTCAAAATGCTGTCAGATCGTAACCTGTTAGGGCTGAATGCATAGGAATTTTAACAGATGGCTGTTTGGGAGGAAAAAAGATATTTCTTCAGTGATAAACAGCATTTATTTTAAGTATGCATATTCGAAACAAGAAGTTGTATGTGTGCCTATTTTCATTGTTATTGCAGCCAACTACCCGGGTGAAGAATCGCTTTTCTTATTAACCTCTTTCTGCCAGATTGATCCAGTGCTGTCACCGAAGAGCGTATCTACTATAAAGCCACTTGGGTGACCAATACTAAGTGAATCAACTTGGAGGGATCCCTCATTCGTTACATCTCAGCAGAGTAACACTGATGCCAATACTTTAATGAAAGAACAGTATGTTAAAAAGTCCACTATAAATCACATAAATCACCTGAGCTTTATCCTGCTCAGAAACACAGAGACACAAAACCCACACCTGTGACACCAAGTCTATGAGACATTGCTGATTTCTGCAAGAGTTCTTCAGACTTTTGCTTCCAAGTAACTAGTAACTTGAACTATATCAAATATGGCAGAACGAAATCGTGCACCTTGTCACCTCTACCTCAAAATCCTGAATCCTAGCAATCAGCAGTTAAGGCAAGAAAAATAAATTAGATTAATTATCAATGTTTTAATAAAATAAAAAGTATTAAAAGAGGAATGAGGTCACTTCATTACCTAATCTGAAGCACAGAAAAATGGTTTCCCTATAAAATTTCATGACTTTGCTGTTCCAACTGAGAACTAATAATCTGCTGCATATTACCCTGTGAACACGTGAGCAAGCAAACAAGAATTCAGGGCAAAACTAATCTGATTCACCATTTGTTTCAACATTTCATGTATTTTCACCTGTCGAGACAGATGGCATTTTGACAAAGTCACTTAAAAGTACAATATGAAAGGAGTGAGGGAAAGATGCTGAAACCATCAAATACCATAGCAAATGGCACGAATCCAACAGCAGCAATCGCGCGTGTGAAACAATCAAACCTTTCGTGCAGTTACGTTACTCTTCCTCTTTGTCATCTAAATATATGGACAGGTAAATTAATTCAAACAGCAAATCAAGCAAAATAGGCACAAGGGAGAGAAGAGACGCCTGCCTGCTATTTCAAGGGGGTTTTTACCACCAAATGTTCCCCACAGCCAGAGTGCTCAAAGAGCTGCGAAACAAGCTGCAGAGCAATAGACTGAATCAATGATTTGGACTGTTTTTAAAAGAAGAGTGGGGAAAATCCTGACCTCAGTGAAGACAGTAAGCTTTGCCACCGACATCTGTGTGGCCTGGACCTGACCTGGTGGTTTTACCTGTCCAGTTAAGTTGGTGTCAGCAGCACAGTTGATCTGCATGCACACCAAACCCCTTAAAGATGGAGTGGCCCGTTAAAACTGGAGATACAATTAGATGCTTTAGGCATAAAGGTCAGGACCCTTTATCATAACAGACAAAATAATGTAGATAGAAATGAGAAAAGTTACAGAATATCCTGCTAGCTCTTTTCCCTTTTGTCCTCCAAGCTCATTTATAAAGTTAACAATTTGACACAGTTCTCCCTTTGGCTGAAAGATTGACAGCCCACCTGAATTCTGCCAAAATGCCTGCTTTAGCTGATTTCTATATTCACAGCCCGCATTACTGGGCCAGGCAACACAAAGCTTTAAGGAATAGCAATGCTGCGGTCACACTGATATTTGTCTTGCAGAGTGTACCCCACTATACCGTACAAATCATTCTGAAAAGCAAAGAATCACAGAAAATTAGTGTCA